AGCGGCGGTCACAATGTTTGACAGCCACGAGAGACTCGGTGACTAATTAGTGTAAAAACTAACCCCCGATTTTCTCTGGCAATCCGACACCTTCGTCCTTCCTCTCGCACACACTGGCATATGCTAGGGCATGTGTTTCTTTGAATACACAGAAAAAGAAGTGCGGGGGGAGGGGGAGGGGGACGAAACGAGGAAAGAAGAAGAAGAAGAGTAATCCTCACAATATACAGAATGCGTGTATGCGTGTGGCCCGATGCTGGCGACCAAAGTGCGATTTTGGTTACCATTGTAACCAAATCTTCTTCAGACGGTCTTTGTTCACTCTCTCGTTTAAAATATTTCACTCGAGAGCTCAGGATTTCCTATATAATTTTCACTAGCTCGTCTTGAGGCTCTTTTCGTTGAACGTTCTCTCTCTCTGCCGTGAGCGTTGTGGAAACACAAAGGCGCCAATTAAGAAACTGAAGGTCGTTAAGCGTTTCAACGCTGGATTCCAGCTTTTTTATAAAACCCGGTGGCACGTCTTTCCGAGCGCAATTAAAGGAACAAACTGTCCCATAGCGCGTGCAAAGAAGAGGGGTCAACCCTCACCGCGAGTCAGAATTCTTTCCGCGCGAAACGCAATAAATTTCTCGAACGCGGAACACACGAGCTAAAGAGCCCTCCTCTCTCCTTTCTGTTTTGAAAACGCCCCGACGCTTTCAGGAAAATCAGAGATATATAATTCTCCCATCCTCGATTCTTATCTGGCCGACGAATGATTTGCTTCTGTTTCTTCTTTTCACTAGGATCGTCCAAACAACACCAATAAACATGAATCCGAGAGTTCAAGCTGGACCAGCTAAGCCGCATCGGATAAATTTTCATTAGAACAAGCTGTCAGACGCGATCGACTTGCATTTGAGATAATCGACAATAACACGTTGAACGACGATGTGATTGTACGCGTTTTGAAATGAATATATGAGAATTAAAAGCAACCAGATGGAAATCAATTGCGAGAGGATGAGCTGTGACATTATGTGTGCCTGGTGGATGATATTACAACGTGAAGATTTCGCACACCGTGTCCCCCTCGGCTGATCAACGACTGACGAATCAGCCGAAGGCAAATTCTGATTAATATCAGTATGCCAATATGCTTCAACACTCTAAGGCACACTTCATTTGCAATGGACGTGCCTGACACGTTGAATTTGGCACGGATACGTAGGCACGATTATTTTTGGCCCAACTGCAGGTGCATTAGGACATAATGAAAAGTAACGGAGGGTTTAGAGAAGAAAAGAATCTCTCGAGGTTACAAATTAGAATGTAATACACTACTGTTGCACAAATCTGACTTTTGCCCTTGCGTATGATCACATTTCTCTTTTAACTCATTTGCACGAAGTCGTCCGCAGGCAGTGATTTCATCAAATATCTTGTACATATTGATTAACACGCATTATGTGTACTTTGTACTTTGATGCTTCATTAGAATCAGTTGGTATTGACACGGAATGGTAAATATTTCAATTGCATCAAATTGTGAATAATTTCACAAATTATATATGATTGATCATATAAGATTCGGTAATGGATCGTCAGTTTTATTGTTGTTGTTAAACACACATCAATAATAGACATTGTAATTTAAGTCGCCATGTATGTATAAATATGCAACTGAGTTAAAAGCTACAGTTAAAATGTCTTATCTAGCATTATATGGTATTATCTAGCAAGATATGGTAAAGTACTTAGAATTCCTTAAATACTTTTATCATCAGTTGTTTGGGGATAATACTTAAATATTTTTAACAGAAAAAATGATAAAACTTTAGTTTCTTTCAGTATATGATTGACGGAACATTTTATTAAGAACAGTGTAGCTGTTCCTCCTAACATACAAAATGAAATAGCTTAACAATTTTCTGTTTAGAAGTTTTTTAATTTAACTTTTAAAGTGAAAGTCAACCAAGAAGATTTAGTTTTTGTTGAAGATTTAGATACACACGTCAATAATAGACATTGTAATTTAAGTCACCATGTATGTATAAATATGCAACTGAGCTAAAAGTTACAGTTAAAATGTCTTATCTAGCATTTAAGATATGGAAGAAACTTTTATCATCAGTTGTTTTGGGATAATACCTAAAAAATTTTTAATAGAAAACATGATAACTTTAGTTTCTTTCAGTATATGATTGACAGAACATTTTATTAAGGAGAACAGTGTAGCTGTTCCTCCTAACATACAAAATGAAGTAGTATAACAATTTTCTGTTTAGAAGTTTTTTAATTTAACAAACTTTTAAAGCGAAAGTCAAACAACCAAGAAGATTTAGTTTTAGCCTGAGATATAGCTTTCTACGTTACAGGAATGAAGAATTCTCTTACGCGAGTCATAAACACAACCAAAGTTTTACCAGGCTTCTTTTCCCAGGCTTCCAGAGCTTAGTTTATATTATACATGTTTACGTTACTTTGCGTGCAGTATAGTTTCTATTGCCGTTCTTCGCGACGATAGAAGAAAGAAAACAAATAAGGCGTGGACAACAGAGGATGTAAACAAGATGGACCATTCATTATACACAACAGAAGATGTAAACAACGTGAATCATTCGTGAAATTCGATGAAAGGTGAAACTTATACTACCGATCACAATCTTAAACTAATGTTCAGTAGTTCGTGCGGCATGGAATGATGTACTTCTCGATTTTCCCCCGTTTAAAGTATTCGATTATTTTGCAGAAGTATTCCGAAGGGGGAATGATCCGTTTCGTTAGCGATAAAGCTTCATCTGCCAACAAGACATAAATCCGAGCAACGTGTTAAAACAATTGCCACTACTAATTACTCGTAAGACGATAATAGCTCCTAATGAAACCATGCTTCATTGTCGCGCTGCGTAAGCCCGATTTATTGTTTTGCTCCCGATGAAATTGTTCGAGAGACGTGTCATAAGCAAAGCCGAGATTTTTCACGATCGTCGAGAAATTCATTAATTAATAAAGAGGAAGATGAATCGTCGAAAGAGGAAAACATCCGGGGGGATGAATTATCTCGTAAAACTTTTTGCATATGTCGGTAGCGCCGTTGTAATTTCTCCGAGGAGGACAGGCTCGTATCTCAGGTCAATTAAGGCGAACTCGTCCGTAAACGACAAGCACATGGAACGCGACACTACCCGCGGAGACATCCCCTGCATCCCTCATTCTACTTTATTGGCATAGGTGTTTCTTCTATTTCATGTCACTTTCAAAACGTTCCAGTATGTATCATCATCTCGAGCGAAAGCTTAAGAGTAAAACTCGAGAAAGAAATAGAACAAAATAAAAGGAAAAGTAAAAACGACAAGCAAGTTATTCACTTACGTGCCCGTTGTCGTCGAGCTGATTGTTAGTGAGTTTCAGCTTGTCGAAGGAAACTGGTTGCTTCATCCAGTGAGCACCGCTCGCAGGGCTGTCAGGGTGTACGTGAATCCTTGGGGGTGAGACTGGATCCGCGCGACCAGCGACCACCCAAGCGCTACTGTGAAAAGCGTATCTGTATCGTTTGTCATCGCAAGGTACGAAATCCATAACTAGCAGATAATCAGTAGTAGGGTCCAAACCGAAAAATCGACACTGTAAAATAACGATTCAGATTCTCTTACACAGGACGATCTTCATCCGTCATTGTCTTACGTAGTAGGAAATTCACGTGCAAAATGGCGAACCTGAAAAGTGGGGAACATCCTTCTACCAGCCTTGGTGACGATCATCTCCGTTCCCAATTGATGAAACTCTTCCCAAAGGGGTTTCGCTTCCAATGCAGCTCCGGCGCCGACGAGAGCCGGATGAAGAGGCCTCTTCGAGCTAACCTCTTCCGTCAAATTCGCGCCATTCTCGCTTGGATGATGGTCGCTGTGATTGTGACTGTTGTTGTTGCTGTCGTTGCGCGATTGAACGACAGTCGACGAAGAGATCGACGAAGAAATGGATGAACTCGTGATGTGCGGCGACACCTTCGACAAATTTGGGCTGCGGGATCGTTTCACTCTGCCCGCCGATTGTAAACATGCTGGGATAACACAGGTTATAGAATATCAGGCGAAACGTTCTTTGTTTTTTTTTTTTCAATGACGCTCCTGATTGAACACATTGTCGACCGGTCACCGGTTAACTCATGTTTACATTGGCTATGTTAATTTTTGACACTGATGGTAATACAGGATATATTGTGAAATCTTTCAACCAGTGTTCATTTTATTGAAAAAAAAAATTACTTCTATTAATATTTAGCTTTTCATCGCAGTTTTAGTGTTACAAAAATTTCAATCACGATGGTACGTGACGGTGAATTGACCGAGTGATTTTGAAATATATTGCAGCGATTATAAGACAGTTATAAATTAGACCTCGAAAATGGCGAATTTGCAAAATTTGTTGCGTATCATTACACGTAGGTGATTGCTATACAGTTTATCGCACCGAAAAAGAATTACTGAAATATATCACAAGTGAGACAACAAAACATAATACATATGAGAAATATAAAAAAATTCATTCTGTCATGAATAAAGTATATTGAAGTTTATTTAGATTATTTCACTTTACATACTCAAGCCGGTGAGATAGCTTCTGCCATTTGTAAAATTGCCGGTCGACAGTGTGTTAAAAAATGGTAAAGGTACCTTCCATCTGTTGCATTGGGGATGGTACGTTCGTTATGGGTTGAGCGTGATGATGATGACTTTGGTGATGAGACGACCATTGTTGATAACAACAATCGGTAGTAATGTCGTGTCGTTGATCATGTTGCCGTTGCATTTTCACCGATCCTCGAGTTGCATCAACGAGACAGCTTCTCCCCCAGAAGTATTTTTACAGGCTTAATTTTCGCTTTGTAAAAATTTGCCGAATTGCTTCCAACACTCGATCTCACAATTACGAGAAATCGGATTTTTTTTTTT